CCCAAGGATGACCACCTCTACCACTAAGCCACAGCCTGTGAGCGATCAGAAAACTTTCCACTATAGTGCTGCAAAACTATTCATTCTTTATAATTGTGACATCTATTCGCTGAAATTCAATAGTACATTTATACATTATACATACATTTATGTTTTAAATTCCATTATTTGACATTTGTCAACAGACTGTTGTCATAGAGACAGGAGGGGTGTGCAGCGCTGTTATTCTCTGAGCACAATCTCATGCAAGCGCTCGATAGCCAGCACTTTTCTGCCCGTAAAACACGAGGCTGACACGGAGCCTAACATAGAATAAAGTTTTAGTTGATTTGTGGCACGTGTATTTCTGCTACTAGCACTTTTCACAGACATTAGCCACAAAGTGCTTTACAAAGACATAAAATACAATAAACAGTCATAATGGTGTGGTTAGAATTACTATAATAGGAATAATAACGTAAGAAAAAATGAAAAGTTAAAATAAACAGAACAAAAAAAACATTTCCCGCATTAATTGATCCTGAAAGTTATCCAAATGCCTGCCTAAACAGGTGTGTCTTAAGTTGACTTTCGTCTTATTTATAAGACTGGGCCGAGCTGCTGTATTTGACAATTGGAGCGTGAGAAAGATATTTCACAAAAGAAACATAAAGTCAAATATATCACGTCTGTACATGGCTTTGAACGAAGATGTGTCCATCTCATCGGATGTTGTTGAATAAAGACGATGACCTTGTAGGCATTCTGAGGCAACTCTAGTCAGACTCTCATCACAGCCTAAATAATGCATCTGGCTGAGTAAGGCCCCCCCCCCCCGCCCCCCTCCCTCCCCTCCCGCCATGTTTCCCTGTTTTCTGCTCTGAATCACCCACAGAGCCTGTGAGTGATTCAGAGTGTTGTTAAAGTTGCTCTCTGAGTGTAACATGCTTTGTGCTGCTGCTGGCTAACACAGGCAGTCAACATTCAAATCGATTTCCACCGGCTCTTCCTTTCACTCATTATACTTCTTATATGCTGATCGCACCTAAACACTATTTTAATGTTTGGAGCAAAATGTGTACTCGGGCACAAACTCCACACAAACACACACACACACAGGTCCTGTTGCCTTTCCCATAACTCATTTGAAATCCTATTTCCGTGCCCTTCTCCACAGTGTGTTTTTTTTTCTCTCTGGCTCAGAGATGTGAACAGCGGCTTGAATAAATATTAATGGTTATTCTATGAGCAGCAGGCCACTCACAAGTGTGCTGGAAGAAACAAAAGGCCTTGTTTACACGTGTGCTTGAGGAAAAGCGAAGGCACAGAGAGCCTCCGAGGGCCTCTCTGTGCTACTATTGACTCACAATGGAGTGCTGATTGAAACACACTCTTAACTTCCAGCGTGTGGCGACGGGTTGAACGCGGCAGAAGATGATGGAACATGATGGATTTCTATTCAGATGTTGCGACGAACGAAGACGTAGAAATCAAGCTCATGAACTAGCCGCCTCTACTTGAACTCATTTAAGACAGAGCTGAGAGGTAATTAAGTTTCTGGGGAACAATAAGCACTCAGCACCTTGTGCAGCTCCAGCCTCGCTCCACACATTTCCTTTGGTGTAATTAGGGGAGGTGTGAATTCCTCATCAGATGGATCACCATCTGCATTCACACGCTACATGTTCATTCCCCCCCAGTCCCCCTGCGACGAGCACCACATTCACGCTGATTATCATGCAGGAGGTGGTGGATGGATGGAGGAGAGAGAGAGCCTCTTTTTTATTTTTTTTCTAAAATGTCTTTCAGTGCAACAGGCTCCAGCACCTCGCCACGTAAAAAGGTTAATCAATTCTGAATGATGAGCCATAAAAGCTTTAATAATGCAGTCGTCCTCTAATGAGCGGTCCTGCATGCTTGCTCAGGAACGGACCGATTGTTTTTAGGAAGCTCCGATGGTGCAATTACAAAGCGCTCAAGCATTCCCTTAACTGCCCGGAGGAGCTCTGGACACAGCGAGGGTCCAGTGAGCAGGACAATGAGCCCTAGCAGCGTGCAGCTAATGTCTGCTCCACATGGGGAACGAGAGAGAGGCCCCGTCACATGGCCGTCCAATCAACCCTAATGCCGAGTATTGACTCAAACCGCAGAAGAAGCCTGGAGCGGTTTCACATGTAGCTCGACCATTTTGCTCAGCAGCTCTGCTTTTCAACAGAAAAGTTCAACCTTACAGACTTTACAGAGCCAACATCAGGGTTGTAGATGGATCCTGTTTACACATGGATTGGAAATGGAAAAACGTTTGTTGCGTTATGGTGTTCATTTACACTTCAATGCAATGGAAAATGGGTCACAAGGTGAAAACTTTTGACTCTCTGACTGTCAAAATGCCCTTCCTCTTCCACCAGATCAGATCACATTAAATCAACATACCTTCACAGATATCTCTTTATAGAGATAAAGACAAAGGTTATTTATCTTTGTATGGATTGTAGCAAACACAAAACCTCGGAAAAGGCTCTTCTCACACTTTATCCACTGAGGATTTCCCATACACTGTAAATATTACTGGACGAAGCTTGAGTGACGTCATCTTGGGGCTTTGGAGTCCCATCGATGGCGGTGGAAATGCTGTCTCAGACTAACTTTCAGTCAACCTAACGACAGGCTGAGAGCTGGAGTGGGTTTTAAGCCTCTTGACAAACTGTTACATCATGTCCGACTGTCAATCAAGTCATACCTGCCTTCTTCTGAGTAAGTCTCATACTTCATACAATCAAAACAGAGGAGTTTTCATAAAATTCAACTCTCGTACATTGTGTGCAGACAGAGATGAGCTAATCATACCTATTTTGTTTTTTGAACCAGGCTGTAAACATGTTAATTTCTGCCATAGAAAAACTTATTTTTTTGAATGGGTGTGTATGTGACTTCCTTTGCTTATACAGCCAGCCTCTAGTGGACACTCGATGAACTGCAGGGTTTTACACTTCCTCATCTGCTTCATTTCTCAACACCGGAGGATGCTGCTAGGGATTCATCTTCTAATAAGGCACAGCCCTGCCGTTATCAAAGACATATCAACAATACTTTGGGATTTTGTGCTCAACCTCCAATTAAAAAATACATTCTTCAAACCTCCCCAAGTTTATTGGTTAACTTTGATTTAGAATTAAGTATTTTTCTGAATGTATTTGAGTCATATCTGTAGAGGGAATTATAAATGAGGTTTTCTTTGACAGAAATCTTCCATGCATCACCCTGGTCTACTAGGCAGATTAATGGAGGAATGGATCACCTTTATCCAAACAATGGCTCTCTTATGAAGACTCTTATATAACTCACATATGCCATGCGTGAAACAACGACTATAATAAACCTGTGCGTCTATTCTCCTGCACATTTGGTTCATTCTTTTCACTGCCGTCTTCTGTAATTCCAGCCTTCATTTGGAGGTATTATCATGTCCCAGCCGCGGCGCATGAACAGATGGAGTGGGTCACCCTGCACTGAGGAGCTGCTAACCCTGAAGGAATTTGATTAGTCTGGGTTTCAAAGTGGGGTTTTGGTATTGCATCATGGTCTAAATTGCGCTTCAGAGATAAGTCCAACCCCACCACCATGAAGGACTCTGGGAGATCAAGGCGTCTTTGTCGTTTTCAAAATGAAACAGAGTTAATTTTTTGCAACTATTGGATATCAAACTGCACCAAACAAAATGATTACAAACCTGACCTTCTCTGGCCAATTACACTGATTACAGTGTTATAGCGCTTTTTAATGGTGGCCACTCGCTCAAAATAATAAACGTGACACCATCTTGGCCGAGCACGCCCCTCTTTCATGATAGCTAATGGCTGAAAAGTCCACCCAGGGTTAACTGAGTAATCGTCTGTTGTCAGCACGCCACGTGTAATTATGAGTGAGTCACAAAGAGCATGTGTTAATTGTTCTTTTCTGGCTTTTTTCCCGCAGGTCGTCCTCTTCCCAGCATCCCTGCATCCTTGGCCATGGCAACCCCTCGGCACATTCCAGCGCGTGTCTCTGTCACGAACGGAGCGGCAGGAAATACATCATCCCCCCTCGAAACACTACATCCCACACACATCCATTCAACTCCCTCGCAGATACAAACACAGATAATGACTGTGTTATAGACTGGTTTTTCGGTGGCAAACTTCAGCCCTCCAGAGACGCACGTTTTGTTGAGAAAAACGGCAGGTTTAACGTTTAAAATAAGAGTTGTATATCCTGCTAAAGCTACGGCGCTCTCTTTGCACTTTCCCGCTTTTAATCACCACAGTCAGAACAGCCAACTGTGTTTCATGGATGCTCAAGCATGAAAGAGGGAGTCTTGTTGGGTGGATCCATAGAAATAATGAATAAAAACGGCTTTTAGAGTTTGTCACTGCGAAATACAGCGTTTTAATTACGTTAGATTCCCCCGAGAGCGAGCGAGCTGCACGCACACACACAGTCGTTGCTCTTCAGGTACCGCTGGGAGTCTGGCACCATTGCTAGGATAATAATGTTTGCCGACTGCAGTGCTGTACACATTAAATTAATCTGGATGTATTATGGATCATATCAGATTGTGGTCATTAATGCTAATAGGGAATCATTACTGAGAGCTTTCAAATTTTTTTTTACTGTCAATCGTAGTATTGTTAAGCTCTCAGCGGGAGTTAGAAGTGTGAGCTGCGCACAGATTGGTGGGAGCCAAAAATTTTTTGCAAACACAAGCTTAAAAGATCAACACCGTGGTCGTTCACTTTCTGTTTGAGGATCAATGCAAAAACCCATGACTGTGTGCTAAGCATAAGACCGAGGTCAGGACCCTCAGATCAACGTAGGCGCATTTTTTTTTAAAATCAAGACGCTTAAACAAAGAATCCCACAGTGGTAGCTTTCAAAAACGCTAACAAGAATGAATAGCTTTGTTTCCACCACAAAGCTTTTTGAACGAGGGTCTTTACCCCAAAGGAAACCAACATTATGAATACACTGCGTCCTGTTCTTACCTGCTTGTCCGGTGGCGATGCTAACTGCCGCAAACAGCCTCTGCGTGCGGCTCAGGTCCGACACCCCGTTCACGGCCTCCACCTCGAAAGTGTAGTTAGCGTGGGCGAGCAGGTCCACGATGCTCAGATAAGTGTCCACTAATCCCGACTGAGCTGGGGAGAATCCCACGTTAGGCCCACACGGAACACACTCCTCGGGCTCCCAGCTGCAGCGCCGGCAGATAACCCTGTATGTGACGTCGTTGCGGCCGCCAGTGTCGGCCGGCGGGCCCCACTCCAGGCTGACGGTGGTCTGGTTGATGTTGTAGACCAGGTTCTGTGGCGCTGAGGGAGGTCCTGTCACAGAGGTGGACACAGAGGAAGCGGGAGTTAAATAACTGGGTGTTAAGGAAAGTGACAGCCAAGAATGTGCATTGACTGGATCTGTGCTTTCACTGTTCTCAGATAGAGAGAGAGAGAGAGAGAGAAAAAAACAGTATTGGACATGCCAGCTCCAGCCCTAGAGCCAAAGTCTCACACTCAATTATAATAAGACTCAGATCCAGAAAAAAAAAAAAAAAAGGAGCACAGGTACACTGAGAGGAAGTGAGCTCTGGCAGGCACCAAGGTCAGTGTTAGAGGGCTTTGAAATCAAAGAGTGCAGCCCAGAGTTTCAAAGGGAAAATCATTTCACAGTCAGAGTTCATACAGCACTGTTTTTATGTCTTACTTTTTAACACAACAGCACAGCCAACCAAACCAACGTCCCTTTATTCTCCCCCTTAATCTATTCGTCACCATTGTAAGCAGTGAGACCTCAGAATGAAATTAAGATATATATAAGCCTGACTGCAATATGTTCACATCCATTATTTTTAGAACAAACAACAGAAAATGTGACCTTAAAGGATGAGATAACAAAATGAACAACAAATGATCTACTCTTTTTTTGGTCAGAAAACAGAGGGATAGAGGAGAGGGAGAGAGAGAGAGAGAGGGAGAGAGAGAGAGAGAGAGAGAGAGAGAGAGAGAGAGAGAGGAATGACATGCAGGAAAGGAGCCCCAGGTCGGATTTCAACCGGGGGCTGCCTCGAGGACTTCAGCGCCTGTACATGGAGCGCACATACTAACCACTAGACTACCAGCGCCACATAATAGTCTACATTTATTGCAAAATGTGATATTAAAACTGTTTTTTTAACATTGAGATGTTAGAACTGTCTCTTGCTGAACCCTGTGAGGACTGAAGTTGCAAAGTTGCATTCATCACGTCTCATTGGTCCTATAGTTTATCTGGATGTTGTTACAGGATATAAAATGACACAACACTCTGTACTTTTAAGAATGGGTTAAAAACTTTGGCAGCTAGTGTTTCTGTCAGTGAATTTGATGACTTGAGATCTTGATACTTCAGACTATAAAAGTCTGTACATGTCTGTAGCGATCGTTTCTGTGCTCGTGTGAGAAATGCAGAACAACAGTTTGAGCCTGTCACTGTTGAACACAACAGCTTGTTGTTGACATGAATACAATTTACTGCTACTACAGCCCGTTATGGAAAGATTGTGATCCTGCAGGCAGAAGAAATATACAGAGGCAGTTCTATAATTTATTGTACGCATTATTCAATTTGAAGCCTAAATATTTGAGAGTAGAGCCAAGGTTCACAAAAACTGGAATCCCCCCTTTAAGGCAGCCTCATGTTTTAAATCTGAAAACAACCTGATGCTTTTTTTTTTTACAGTGCACTCATGCATGCAGAAAAAGCTGATGATTCATCCAGATGGACCGAGGGCTTTGTTTACATAGCGATTGTTAACAGCATAAAATCTGCAGCTGTTATGGAAATGATTGAGACGTGGTTACACGGTCGGACAAAATGCTTAGCAGGCAATCAAGAAAAAAGCTACAGACGGAGGAGAGAGAGCGACATTCTGCAAGTCGTCCTGATCTCTGGAGATATACACAAGCATCCCAGCTGGAGACAGCGGCTTCACTGGGCTTCCTCTGGGAGGTATATCATACAGACAGCCGGACACTTAAAGTTATCGTCTTCCCCAAAAAGAAAAAAAAGGACTCAGAGTGTGACTCACTCAGAATTTATGGACTAGATTTAAACCTGGATTATCACTGATCTGTAACTGCCACATACAATTTCAAATGACAGACAATAACATGGAGCTCCACGGCATCAGAGGCGCACAGCACCACAAATAACGTGCCAGTAAAATGTTCTTATAATGGCAGAGAGATTATCTCATCTCATAAAACAACGAATAACAAATTGCTGCTTTCATCTTTCAAATTCCAGACTGTTGGTTTTTACGGTCCAGATGTTGGAATAAATAAACTCCCCGCATCGCAGTAAAGATTATGGGACCACCGAACATCTCCACTTTGTTCTGTTTTAAACTCTTCTTTCCATATAGGAAATATTTCTGGAGGTAATCTTAGGGAGGGAACCTTTCACATCATTAAATCTGTCACAACAAAAACAGGTCATGCATATGCAAAGTGGCAAAACAGCTCTGACAATATCCAGGCTCATTAACACAGCACTTAAATTGTTGTTTTGTTTTTTTTGCCTGTTCCTCCCTTTTACAAGTGAGGGCTCGTCAGGCTGAAACATCCATATTCATGATTATCGAGGGAGATAAGAGACAGACTGTGGACGGGAAGATGAAAGAGCCACCTGTGGCAGGTGAAGTGGAGACGAGTGACTGCTGATAGCGCCACTCGACTGTGCCGCCTCAGCACTGACACTCGACCCTCGCTCTCAATCTTCCTCCAGGACAAGGAGAAGGTGTGCACTAGGACGTCCACGCACACACCTCACACCTTCCTGCTTCAACCTCAGGGCTTTTTTTTTTTTTTTTTTATCTTTCCCCCAGCATGTTCATGGCCATAGTTAGCGATACTGATAACATCTCATTTAGCTCGTGCCACTCTCAGTTTGGTCTCAGGTGGCGCTGCATCAAAGCGGTGATTTCTCAAACAAAAGGGGAAATGAGATTAGACTGACTCGGGATCAGTGTGACCTTTGTCTTTGGTCTTGCTTTCTGTTGCATGCTACCCTGCAATCGCTGCCCTTCTTCCTCCAGAGACCTCGGCATGCTTCACACGAAGTGCATGTCGGATCGTATAACGTCGTAAATCTCTGAAACTCACTTTCCTGCTGCAGGACTGGAGCCCAGTCTGATGAGTTTTCTAACTTTTTCCTCACAGACAATCCAATGTGAAAAGAGAGCTGTAGAATCGAGAGGGTTTATACCTTCTCTGACAAGCTCTTTGCATCATTTGTAATACTTCACATGTAAACTGCCATGCAGACAATCACATGAAAAGACCCTTTCTTACCTATATACCTTTTAGTTTTGTAATTTCTTCAGGGCCAAATTATCCAGAATATAACCTTTGTCACTTCTGAATGAAAGTCCACCTGCTCAAAAATATCAATTTCTGTCAGTTTCTTGATCACGGTCATTTCAGGTAAATTTACATGCAGAGTGAATCTGCTGGACATCTGCTGGATCAAAAAATTGCATATAAAGCCTTTAACTTTTCCATTTTGAAATAAAAGCTTCACTTTCAGTCCAACAGTTCAATAACTTTCAACAAGGACAGTGTGCTCCATGCCATGTCCACAGAGTGACCTGTCGCCTGTTTACAGCAGTATGTAACTTTGGCAGCGGGCCGCAGATCTCTCATGAGAAGGGGTTTATGGCGCTTGTTCATACACCAACCTACAGCTAAAAAGAAGCCAGTTAGTCCGTCTCTGTACTGTTTGATACAACAGCTAAGAAAAAGGGGATGGTGATGGATGAAGCTAAGAAGAGAAAAAAGAGAGAATGACGGAGCAAGAAGCAGAGGGTACATCGATTGTGGCCTAATGTTAGCCTGTATTGTTACCAGTGTCGTCTTTGTCTCATGTTTAGCAGCTTTACCGGCTGCAGAAAGTAATCAAACCCAAGATATGTCTCAGGTTTCAAATAAATAAATAAAATCTGTCTTAAGCCAAAAAGTTGTCTCTTTCCTGGTCGATCTTCAAGTTAGCAAACCTATCTCAACTAGCATGTAATAAATTAGCCTTTCCAATGTAGCCACAGCCTAAAGTCGTCATGGTAACAGTTGAATACACACAAACATATGCTAACACAGTTTGAAAACAACGAGCTGAAGTCGCTAGTAGAGTCATATTTGTGCAGAATATTACTGTAGCCTCTCCGTTGTTTCTTTAGCTTTCGAGTCTTAGCCGTAAACACATAACACGATGTCTAAGAGGGGGAGGGGTAACAAAAGCTCAGTTGCACACTGAGGCCTTTAGTGGGCGCCAAATTACTATCAAACATTTAATTATTTATTTACATATTTTTGTTTTAAACCTAAACCACGATCTCTTCAATATAACCAAATCATTTTGTGGCCTTATCCTCAGCGTTAACCACATGGTTACTATCATCGCACGCTCAATTCATATGGTTGAGAAATGTTGCACAAAATTTTATCGCAAAAGTCTAGCCAGCTCTTTTAATCATTGCCAACTAGGCAGATTTTTTATGGAATTTTAAATCAGCGTCATTAGCGCTAGCTTGACCATTGAGCCACGTGTGTAAAAACTAGAGGGTCATCTGGAGTGTCATTTTTTTTATGAGAAAGAGAGAGAGAGAGAGAGTTTTATCATGAATGCTTTTGAGGAGAGACTTTTCTAAAGTGAACAATATGACACATCAAAACGAAAACGACACAAAAAAGACAGAGTTTGTGGAAAGCTTGAGGGAAAAAACGTTCCGGCGACTTTTGCCAAGCTTTCAAGTGTGGCCACTTCTAACAGGTACACACACACACACACACACACACACACTTTTTCATATTAGACACAGCACCAGGTACACGTAATATGACCCAGTTTGTTTGAGGCATTCTGAACCGCTCTTCCTTTTCTTCTCCTCCTGCCTCGGCGTCACTTTGTGTCTGAATATGAGTCGGTCTGGACTCGGGAATATGAAACTCGTCTGCCCCGACGTCACCTGCAGCACAGAGCCGCACCACATCCTGAGCCCTCTGCTGTCTGTCTGTCTGCTCATCCTTATAGCTCAAGGCCTTGTCGCTCTGCCTCTCCTCTTTCTTTTTTTTAAACTCTTTTTTTCCCTGTCTCTCACTCCCCCACTCTGTCTTATCTCTTCCTGTTCTCTCCTCTCACCCCTCCTCCCAGTCAAGTTTCATTTCACGGATTAGCCTGCCAGAGCCCCCACAGCCTGAAATGTCTCAATCAACTTGCTAGCTTCCCTCCGATGCTGCTACTGTGAAAAAAGCATGGCTGAGCATGTGTATCTGGTTGTTGTGCATAGATATGGAAA